CGTTGCGCATGCGCCAGTGAGTCTCGTGAAAACCAACGTTTGTTAACAGGAGCAAAGGAAGCAAAGTTTCCTTACTTTAGCAAAGAAAAACCAGTCTCCTCTTGGCTTATATCGAAATCCTCCGACATTCTTCTTTACAAATCCTCGTTTTGTACTTCTAATTCATGACCGTTGTTTTGTTTTGATCTCTCCCCTGCACTTCCGCGTTCGTCACTTCTGAGCGGCCGATGCGCAACGCCGACGTCCTACGTCATCCACCCGGATCTGCTTCCATGTACAATAGTGAGGGCAAGCTAGATTAAATAGATTATTACGTTTTAAATATGGTTATTTTTCTTACAAAAATGCATCGATTCGCTACAGGAGGCCTTTGTTTACCCCCCGGAGCTGTGTGAGGCACTTGCACTGCAACACCCGCTGACTGCCATTAAACAGCTTGGAAGATCAAAGACAATTTTTAATATAACTTCGACTGGATTCGTCTGAAAGAAGAAAGTCATATACTCCTATGATGCCTTGAGGGTGAGTAATTCATGGGCTAATTTTCATTTTTGGGTGAACTAACCCTTTAAATTATTTAATTTACAAGCATCATGTTTGTGATTTTTATTCATGTAAATACTGCGATACTGCTTTATTTGTTCAGAAACACAAGTATCTTAATGATATTTGTATAATTTACATTCTTTTTATTACAAGTAGGCCAACAGAGCCCCCTAAGTAAATAAAACGCCTTACCGAATGGGCATTAGGACCCAGGGGAGGCTACCGCTGCTGCTGCTGCATGTGCTAAAAACTGTCGACTGTCTTGTCTTACATGCATTCTCAAATGAAATGCGGCGATCCAAAACAGTTAATCTTATCATCATTTAGGCAAAAGTTAACTTCAAGAATGAGCACACTGCTGACGTGATCTTATCACTATCACCCCCTGAGCACATGTGAGCTATCCGTCTTATCGGCAAGGCATATCGGTATATTTTTTCAAATCGGCCGATGTCGATGTTTACATTTTAAGCCTTTATTGGCCGATTCTGTTAACGTTCTGATAATATTGTGCATCGCAGGGCTGTACGTTAACTTTTTTTTCACATAGCACTGGTGCTACAGAGGTTGAAAGTTTTGTAGCACAGGCCAAAAAGTTGTAGCACAAGTATAAAACGTCTGTTATCATGTCTGAAACAAACACAAGTAATGGAGTTCATCACTTAAACAGGCACCGATGTTCCATACAGAGCACAAAAAATACAAACCATCACAAAAATTGTTTTTAGACAAAGTTTTCTTAATTTGCTAAAAATGGAAGAGTGCAGAAACATAACACCTCTTACACATTTACAAAATATAAAATAAAAAAGAATGGCAGACATTTAGGCCAAAGTGAGCAAAGATAAAAATCTTTGTCATTATTTTATCTTTGTTATTAGAAAATAAGAACAAAGATATACATTACAAATACACATAATATACAAATAAAACAAACAGGGCTTTATTTTTCCGGTACAGTATTTTTTAATAGCACGTGCGACATATATGTCGCACTGTACAGCCCTGCATCCCTAGTTAACTTTTTTTAACAGCCTGATGATGTCTCAGGGGGACACAAGCAGAAAGCAGAAAGCAGAAAGTTGATTGACATGCATTCGTGTTCAGTAACAGTAATTCAGTATTCCTCTTTCTCACTCTCTCTCCAGGGGAAGAAACGTCAGTATGACCAAGAGGTGGAGAACCTTGAGAAACAGCAGAAACAGACCATAGAGCGTCTGGAGCAGGACCACACAAACCGGCTAAGAGATGAGGCCAAGAGGATCAAAGCAGAGCAGGACAAGGAGCTCTCCAAGTTCCAGAACATGCTGAAGAACCGCAAAAAAGAGGTAACCGAGAAAGAGAGATGCAGAGTCGGATGCACTGTATTTGCTTTGCATGGATTTGTTCATCATGCCATGACCTGTTTATTGTTGGTACTGAGGATGAGCATTTAGGGTAATTTAATAGCCAGGTACACTAACACTTAAAAAATTAGTTTACACAAATTTATTTTTAAGTTAAAAATGTAATATTCACTAATGCTAAGCTATTTCACAAATTGGTGTTGAAAAATATCCTATGCTTTTCTTTTGGAAAAAAAATTGAATTAGTAAGCTGCCACAATTAGGGTATTTTTATATATATATATATATATATACATTATGGCTGTAACGATACACATATTCGTATTGAACCGTTCGGCACGAGGCTTTAGGTTCGGTACGCATTACAAACCAAATGATTCTTTGGACTAATCCTATTACATATGGAAACTGAAAGAGCTTTAAGTGTGTGAAATATAATGTTCTCAGCTACTGCGCTCAACAAGGCAGCCCAAACGACGTAACAGGAAACGTACTGTCTGCCCAGCGATAACCTCACCTTGCTGGGTTGCGTCGAAAGACGATGATCTTGTATCGACGATAGCCAGAGATATGGTCAAAAACAACAATTATTGGCAATAGGCCTATTAAGAGGATTTGGCATTTCCAATTAATATAGGCCTGTTACATACTTGTTTTTATTAGGCCTGTTATTATTAAGTTACTTTTAATAATAAATTAAAATTACAATTAATTTGCTCCGCAATATTAGCCTACCGCATAACTGGCAAGCTGCGAGGATAACAAAAGATTAGGCTATTTACTCTTCAATTAAAATGTTTAAAAAAGGTCTTTTAAAACGGGTCTATATACAATGAATTATACGCCTATAATTAAAATATTAACTCAGCAGTCAATTAAAATTAAAGGAATAAAAAGCTTTAGACTATTTCAAGCACCGACTTTCAAAAACAACCTGTTTAACATGAAATACGTTTCTTGTCTTTTTTCTCACTATGTACGGGGCCACAAGAAAAATGTTAAGGAAATAAATAAAAATAGTTAGCTATATACCGTTATCAGCATATGTTGAAGTAGATTCGTCTCTCGTCGTCTCTGAGAGAATATGCGGCGTCAGATGCCATATATATATATATATATATATATTAGTGCTGTCAAATGATTAACCGCGATTAAAGGCACAATATATAAGATTCTTTGATTAAAATATCCCAAAACCACTAGAACAGTGTTATATATTTTGCTGACTTGTGTACTTGCATTATCCCAAATAATTATCTCTTGCCTCCCCTCCCGCACAAGTTCAGCTGCCAGGCCCCAAAGACACTTTAATATGTTATGCATTTTATTAGCCAGGTGACGAACGCACAGAAGTAGCATTATAACGGAACTTTCAATACACTCAAATTTATCTAGTATAAAACAGCGCTGTTTTACCCCACATACGCACAACCGGAAGAAGCAGAAGCGGTCGACTGTGGCATAATAAAAGCTCTGCTGCTATCGAGCCGTGTATCGCGCTCGTCCTTCATTAGCAATCACTCCTTAATAAGTCTTTAATACATTAGCTCATCAATTAACATGATTTCTGCCCGAGTCCCGTCGGATTGCATCGGCTGTGGGGATGAAGACGACAACTCCCATGATTCCACACAATGACGTCATAACCCCTCGATTTTTCTGGTTTTATTTTGTTGAAAACATGGAAACCCCAAAGACACTTTAATATGTTATGCATTTTATTAGCCAGGTGACGAACGCACAGAAGTAGCATTATAACGGAACTTTCAATACACTCAAATGTATCTAGTATAAAACAGCGCTGTTTTACCCCACATACGCACAACCGGAAGAAGCAGAAGCGGTCGACTGTGGCATAATAAAAGCTCTGCTGCTATCGAGCCGTGTATCGCGCTCGTCCTTCATTAGCAATCACTCCAGCGTTTCACTTCCACGACTTTTAGCCCCACCCTGCTTCATACTACAGTGACCTTAATAAGGCTTTAATACATTAGCTCATCAATTAACATGATTTCTGCCCGAGTCCCGTCGGATTGCATCGGCTGTGGGGATGAAGACGACAACTTCCATGATTCCACACTCAGTCACGGCGTCATCAAACTAAGCCTTTGTTTCTTGTTTGTTTTAAATATGTGCCCTCTAGCGACGAAAACTTACATATTGTGCCTTTAATCGCATCCAAAATAAAAGTTTTTGTTTATATAATAAATATACACAGTACACACACACTACACACATATATTATGTATACATAAATACACTCACATGCATGTATATATTTAAGCAAAATATGTTACTTTTATATATTAAATATATTTATATATGATATAAATTATGAGATTATAACTATATACATGTAAATATTTTCTAAATATATGATGTATGTGTGTTAGTGATGAGCGGATGAGCTAAAACGTCACGCGAATCCGCAGCTTCAAATAAATTATCCACCCGTCAACCGCCCGCACCTATATTTTTCTCTGATTTAGATAACCGCACCCGATCGTCACATTCAGGGTTCGTGCGGTCATTAAAAACCTAGTCATGGAATTTTAAAATGGCAATTTCCAGGCCTGGAAAAGTTTTGGAAAAATAAATAAAACCAGAAAGTTTTGGAAAAGTCATGGAAATCTATTTCACAATTCTCTGTATAATAGAATTATGTTTAATCAGGTCCTGAATTTGGATGCAGGATTGCGCATATATCGCATTACTCATTCCCGCAGCTTTCAACTTTAAAATGAGGGAAATTACGTCAAAACATTTATTCAATATAGCGTGTAGGTTAGATGAGTAAATAAATCCACACAAACCATGAGATCAAATCAGTCATTTGAAAACAGCGTGAGTGATTCAGCTGTACCGCGTCCACTCTCTTTGACCTTCTCTTCACATCGGCGTATCTAGAGCTGCTGCACACTGCGATACAAGACTTTAGTTCGTGTTTTGCTACAGTTGTCAGAATTGTCACTTGTCTAATCCGTCATTGTTGCATCGTCACAAAAATGTATTATTTTCACATCTTTTCACACGCGCTCCAGAGGCGCTTTTCTGTGTGCTCAGTCACATCCAAAGCGCACGCTGCGGTCAAATTGAGTTTGTTGCGCTTAAGTGGCCAAATACACACAAAATGACGTCAATATTGTCGTCCTCACAAGTATCCTCACAAGCACTGTAGGTTTTGTCTTAAGTTAATGTAAACAGTTGCGAAAGAAAATGCACGAGTGTCAGTATTGGATCCGTGAAATGGGTCTTGTGACAGCAGCAGCCTAATAAAGCTGTGTCGTCTGTCATTAATGTTAATCAAACAACAAAAGACAGAGAAAATCCCTCACTGCTCTTGACTAAATAATGTTTTGTTGAATAACTTTAATATGTTAATTTACAGTTTATTCGATTTCTGTAGCCTATTTAAAACACATTTTAGAAAATGTAGTTAATATTTGTATCATTAATGATTTATCTTATCCACCCGCCACCCACCTGCAAATAATCAGAATGCATTTTTTTATTACCCAACCCACCCTACCCACGGATTATCCGCAGCGCCCGCGGATATAACCGCCATTCGCGCATCACTAATGTGTGTATTTATATATACATAAATATACACAATACTCGCAATTATGTAAACAAACACTTTTATTTTGGATGCGATTTATCGCGATTAATCATTTGACAGCACTAATGTATTAGTATTTTTTTATGTACGATGCGTTTTTTTTGTTTGTTTGTTTTTTGGTTTTTTTTACATTTCATTATAGTCTATAGCAGGCAAAGGTGACAATCTATTTGTGAGTTGCATTTGCTAGGCAACTAGTTTGGAGAATGAGTGCTTGACTGTTGGATTACTCATGCTCATCCCTAATTAGTATGCTTTTAGTATGTACATATGTACATTGGCAGCCTTGCTTCTGAATCACAATGCAGCTGCAAATGGAATTTATTTCTTCATCTGTCCTCTTAGACACATCTCAGCTGTGTCTCCTGCTTTCTATTCAGACTTGTAAATGCAAAGCAGTTCTTTTCTTATCATGTTATGTTTGCTTAACGAAACTCTGGCTCTCATATTCAATTACCTCCATCCTCATAGAGGCTGCAGGGACAGCTTTAAAGGTTGATTGGGTGCTAAGCAATGGCTTAGGAGCAAAATAAAGGCTCTTTTCATTCCATCTCATCTTCCTCCTGCTGGTGTTTTAAAATGGAGGGATTTCAGTGCATGCATGGCTTCATGATAATGGGGAGTGTAGTGTGGATCTGTGACTGGTCTTATTTGCTTTTAGGTGGTGGTGCATTTGCTGTCATAGTAACATTATAATAAAGCACATTTTAACTGTCTCTCGTTGCATTATCAGCCAGCATGATACATGCTCCGAGCGTCTCTCTTATTTTCTCTCTTTTTGGTTTTGGTTTTTCTTTGGCACTTATAATAGACAGCTTGCTCCGCTCTAATGCTGTCATATGCATGAATAGAGTGCCTTAATGGATTTAGATAAGGCAATGCCTTGTTTTCTCTCCCTCTCTTTCTCCCTTTCATGACACTGTTCGAATATTTCTTGATATTTATTATTTCTACCTATCAAGTGTTAACATTATTATTATTTTTATTGAGAGCAAGTGCATGAAAAATGTATTGTTTTTGATATTATGCAAATGTCACTAATTATGTTGCCTGTGTGAGTGTGATGTAATGAGTGGAGATCAGTGCTGTGGTGAAGGGCCTCTTCTCTTGATAGGAACACTGTATTTATAGACTCTTAAGTACTAGAGATTTAAGTTTCCTTTCATCTTAAAAATAGTGTTAAAATTGACCTTCATTTCAAGATGCACACCTCAATTGCTGAGCAGCAGATAAAGTAATATATACAAGTACCATTTAAAAGTTTGGGGGTTAGTATAATTAAAATTATGCTTAAGCAAGGATGCATTATATTGATCAAAAGTGACAGTGTAGAGTAGACAGTTGGTTATTTCAAATAAATGGTGCTTTTGAACTTTGCTCATCAAAGAATCCTGAAATGTATCATTATTTTCACAAACACTTTAAGCAGCGCAGCTGTTTTTAACATTGATGATAATATTAAATCTTTCTTGAGCAACAAATCAGGGTATTAGAATGATTTCTGAAGGACCATGTGACACTAACTGGAATATATATATATGTGTATATATTTTGTTGTTGTTGATCAAATAAATGCACCCACTTTTTGTCACCCACAAAAGTGATCATAAGAGACTTCTTTCTAAAACATTAAAAAATCTTACTGACCCCAAACAATTTAATGTTAGTGTATATGAAATTATAATATATTTACTTTTAGAATGGAAAAAAATTGCTCAGGTTGTGTAATATTTATTCAAAATTCACAAATAAATGTATTTACTTAAAAAAAAATAAAAAAAAAATTAAAAAAAAAACCCATTGGATGGAAAGATCCCTTTTATTAATCTGCCATTTAGACATGGCAGTCAGCTAATGCAAATCATTTTAGCTGATTAATCATGCTGGGTTGGCCTACGTACTGTATTGGTTTGTCACTAAAAGTAAGTGTTAACAATGACTGGCATTTTTGAGAACGAAGGCAATCTAGGGTCAGTTCAACAATTTTGACCCCCCCCCAGCAAAATATCTCTCTGCTTCCTGACAATTTGACATTTTGACGCTTGACTTCTCATGCTGATCTACTGAAAACAATGACCTGCTGACAAAACAGTTCAGCTTCCTTCACAAAAGAATAAATGTCAGCAATATAGAAGTGTGCATCTTTTAGAGATTACTTTGAAAGGATCTATATTCTGATGGCTGTAATGGTTGTGGAGGTAAAAGAGGGATCTATTTTAGCAGCTGTTAGTGGGCTTTCACTGTTCTTCAGCTTCTGAACAACTCTTACCGGTAGTAGCTGATCATGGATTATTGGAATCATCTTTATATTAACTGCTAACCCAGTCAGAAATCATCAGTGGTTTGGGGATGATTATCTCTCAAATACTAAACCGTTCGTCATGGTAGTAAATTAACCCTTCCTGGCATATTTTGCATGACAGTCTTCGACTAATGAATTACATAATCAGACCCTATGCAAGTAAAGCCTTCATTCCCAACAGTCTGCATGCTCACACTGTAGGTCAAACAAGAGGTTGGAATGTCCCCTAAACACTTGAGAAAAGAGCTCATGAAACGCTTAAAGGAAGACCTAGCAGTCATTCAACATGAAGAGGTAATTTAGTTACCAGCTACTACTTACACACTTTCACTTCTGTTTTCTGCCCCTCTGGTCTTAAATTGTAAGACTGACTAAAATCAAGGTTATTCCATAGATTTCCTATTGAAAAATAAACTGTCATGGGCATTAATGGAGACTTTGTCCTGTACTTTCTGATGGCTGTTCTGATGGCTCATCGACTTCTTATCTATGTTATAAGAGGCCCAAACTCCGAGCATATGCAGAGATGAGTTCATATAATGCAGCATCTGCTGCAAATGGTGAAACTGAAAACACCAGAACATGAGTTGCTGGTGTGTAACAGAACACAGTGCTTTTCTCTGAAACATGCAACCTGTTAAAAATTTGGGTAGCTAAAGTAGCCAAACCGGCTTAAGAAGAGGGAGGGTATTCACATACTTTGGCCACATAGGATGTTGCATTGATCTCGAGGAGAAAACAGACTAACGATGACTGCTGCATCTCATCACGCATGTCAAGGACGACAGCTGCACTAACTGATCGTGGTCCTTCAGACTCACCAGCTGCTAAACCCGCTCTCCGTCCATCATCTGGAAATCATGAACTCATTTCACTGCACGTGACCCAGGAAACTAACAGATTACTGCAATGCAATGAGAAGACTAGATGATATTGTGAGATGTGTGTCTGGTTTGCGTGCGATACGCTTGAGTGCTGGTGTGTGTCCCTGTTCCTGACGTGGTGGAGTTGGCTGTGTTTTGCTCCACAGGGTGTGGCCCAGGTTATGATACAGTCTTTTCAGTTGTCCTCATGTGCTCTGTTCAACGCTCAGATGCAGGATGTAAGTCTCCACTCTCCTCGTGACTCAACCCTCTCACATGTGTCCGTCCGTCACGCAAGATACAGAGCAGATGCACACACAAATGCACATTCACAGTGTAACGGCTGTAATAGTTTAGCTATCTTGTAGTTTAGTAATTATCAAAATAGTATTAGCTTACAAACTTTAAAACAGGACAAAATAGGCCATAAAATTATATACAACCCAGTACGAAAATGCAAGTTGTCAGCACATCTCTTTGGAAGTTCACGTGAGCCTCTCTGGAATCAGTACACTTTTGTCACACCTGAATTACAGTATATATTTGCTGAGTGACACTAGCAGAACTGATCTGATTACGATCAACACGATTCCACTGAAGCACGTCCCTTTGTAACAGCGCAGTAGCGTTTGTATGTGATGTGGACGGCACATGCGGGCAGGAAGGTGCTCTGTTGTTTTGGAGTGCTGTCGCCTGTGTTGCTGCAGTGTCTCAATATCTCTTCTATCCGCTCACTCTCTCATACTGTTACTGAAACTCTAGTCAAGTTTCTGTGCGTCACCTGTGCTGCTTTTTTCTATGTGCCACTGTAGGCCAAGTTCAAAGCAGGAGTCGAAGATCAGGGTGACTTTTGAAATGCATTGTTGATTATTATTATTATTATTTAATATTATTGTATCAGCTTATAAATTATGTATATGTCAACAGTATTGCTCTGTTTGAGTCATATTTCAATGTTATTATACATGTCCTTTAGGCAGGCCCACATGGATCTGAAGTCTGCTCAGGTTTGACCGAATTAGAATGAATGTCATTTATAAAATATACAAATTCGTTCACTACCATTCAAAAGTTTGCGGTCAGTAAAAATGTTTGTTTTTTAAAGAAATTAATACTTTTTATTCAGTCAAGGATGTATTAAATTGATCAAGTGACAGTGAATACATTTCAAATACAGGTAAATCCTGTTTTTTTTTTTTTTTTTTTTTTTTTTTTACTTTCTATTAATCAAATAATTGATTTCCACAAAAAATGAGCAACACAACTCTCTTCAACATTGATAATAATAAGAAATGTTTCATGAGCAGCACCAAATCAGCATATTAGAATGATTTCTGAAGGATCATGTGACACTGAAGACTGGAGTAATGATGCTGAAAATTTAGCTTTGCCATTAGAGGAATAAGTTACATTTTAAAAGATATTCAAATAGAAGAGTTATTTTAAATTGTAATATTTCACAATAGTAATGTTTTCACAGTATTTTTGATCAAATAAATGTAGCCTTGGTGAGCGTAAGAGACTTGTTTCAAAACCTTTTTTTTTTTTTTTTTTATATTACCAACCCAAAACTTTTCAAAGATAGTATACAAACTTTTTGCGTTCATTAAATTGTTTGTTCACTTCATTAAGCTTTCAGCAAGTTGTAATACACATTTTATCATGTTTTAATCCATCCTGATAATTCCCCCTCCCAAATCAGCACAGAAAATATGATAAAACTTCAGTCTGGGCCTACTTTTAGGTTATGTTATGCTGTACTGTGACTTTATATGTATTGTTCTCTAGTTCCTTCCTTTCACAAATCTTTATCCATTTATCATGAGTTATAAATGTTTTATCTTTGTTAAATGGTTTAAGTGTGTGACTTTCCTCTTAATGCAGTGTTATCAGTGCTGTGGTAGTGCTCATGTAATCTTTGACTGCTTCCCCTTGGAGCATGATCATGTACAGTTACTAATTTATAATCCCTGTTGTTTCTGTACCGATTCCTCCTCCTCCTTCCTTTCTTCCGCTCTCTTGTTCTTTCTCCACGCACCCATCTCTCTTAGGAGCAAGAGTTTCTCCAGAGGCAGCAGCAGGAGCTGGATGGAGCTCTGAAGAAGATCATCCAGCAGCACAAACTAGAGATCGCCACTATTGAGAGAGACTGTCTCAACCACAAGCAGCAGCTCATGAGAGGTCAGGCACTCTATAAACGGTGGCCACTGTAAATATTCTTACATTAATAATAATGGAAAGCATTGGTGTAAACGTTTTTGTTTGCCTGCAGTAAGTCCTCAAATAGTTGCACTTCAAACTTCACTGTTTGATGCTATGAGGAAGTCCTGTAGACCTTTTGTGTTAAATTGTGGTTATGTTCATTATAAATAAATTAGCTGCGCATATGTGGTGATAGGTTTTTCTAGGTCACACTTTCAACTCCAACCACAAAGGAAACAATCCAAACATGTTACCTGCTTCTACAGACAGTAAAGCTCTCTCTACCTGGAATAGAGCTAAACTGCGTGTTATTTTCAGACAGGGGTCCAATTATAAAGTTCTCCAGTTCTTATAAAGGCCAGCGTATGTCTCTTGAGGTGTGGCCCAGATCTCATTTGATGAGACGTGCGTGTGAAAATGATTCCAGACGTGTTGAGATTTGCCGTCTATGATGTGTAATGAGCTGCATGACTTCATGTCTGCAAAACATGTCTAAACCTGCATGGAGTTGAACGGTCTGGTTCTAATGGCTGAGAATCATTCTATTTCCTCTTTTTTTTCTTTGACTCACAAACCCACAGCTCGGGAGGCAGCCATGTGGGAGCTGGAGGAGCGCCACCTGCAGGAGAAACACCAGTTGCTGAAGCAGCAGCTGAAGGATCAATACTTCATGCAGAGACATCAGCTCCTCAAAAGGCATGACAAGGTGAGATGTGACTGTCAATCTATTCAACGAATGAAAGCCTAGTATGTTTTGTAGCCACTCTTTGACTATGTTTATTTGCTAAAGCAGCAGCTGAAGGATCAATACTTCATGCAGAGACATCAGCTCCTCAAAAGGCATGACAAGGTGAGATGTGACTGTCAATCTATTCAACGAATGAAAGCCTAGTATGTTTTGTAGCCACTCTTTGACTATGTTTATTCCCACACAACGGGTCATCAGGAGATGGAGCAGATGCAGGGTTATAACCAGCGGCTGATAGAGGAGATGAAGAACAGGCAGGCACAGGAAAGAGCTCGGCTGCCCAAGATCCAGCGCAGTGAAGCCAAGACCCGTATGGCGATGTTTAAAAAGAGCCTGCGGATCACTGGAACAGGAACACCAGAGCAGGACAGAGAGAAGATCAAACAGGTCAGACCCTCTGTCAGGAAGCTTTGGTAAAGATCAGAGGAATCAGGCTTGTGTTCAAACCTGAGGTTGTTTTCTGCTTTATTTCGAGCAGTTTGCCGCTCAGGAGGACAAGAGACAGAAGAATGAGAGACTTCATCAGCATCAGAAACATGAGAACCAGATGAGAGACCTGCAGCTGCAGTGTGACTCCAACATCAGAGAACTTCAACAGATGCAGGTCTGTAACACATACTGTATATACAATCTTACTCTCAACCTCTTTCCTTGGTGCCTGCATTTTCGATTGCATTTACTTTTAAATTAAATTGTGCTGCCCTCTATCTTTGGTTGTAACATCCGATTTGTTGTCTTTTTGCCATCAGAATGAGAAATGCCACCTCCTGATTGAGCATGAGACTCAGAAGCTGAAGGAGCTGGATGAGGAGCACAGTCAGGAGCTGAAAGACTGGAGGGAGAAGCTTCGTCCCAGGAAGAAGGTATTCGGTTTTCATTTCATTCATCATTTCAACTACATATAAAATATAAATCAAACCTTATATATATATATATATATATATATATATATTCCATTTTAGTATATTTTAAAATGTATTTTATTCCTGTCATGGCAAAGCTGAATTTTAGCAGTTGTTACTCAAGTTTTCAGTTGTGCTGCTTAAAGGGTTAGTTCACCCAAAAATGAAAATTGTCATTAATTACTCACCCTCATGTCGTTCCAAACCTGTAAGACCTTTTTCATCTTCAAAAGACAAATTAAGATATTTTTGATGAAATCCGAGAGCTTTCTGTCCCTGCATAGACAGCAACACAACTATCATGTTCAAGGCCCAGATAGGTAGTAAGAACATCTTTAAAAATCATCCATGTGACATCAGTGATTCAACCTTAATTTTATGAAGCTACGAGCTTTATTTTTTTGTGCAAAGACAAAAAAAATATTTGTATTAAACAATTTCTTCTCTTCCGTGTCGGTCTCTGCCACACGTTCATGAGAGTACCACGATGGTGTCTCATGAATTATTTTAACTGACTATTTAATGTTCTTACTACCTTTCTGGGCCTTGAACGTGGTAGTTGCGTTGCTGTCTATGCAGGGTCAGAAAGCTCTCGGATTTCCTCCAAAATATCTTAATTTGTGTTCCATAGATGTCTTATGGGTTTGGAATGACATGAGGGTGAGTAATTAATGACAGAATTTTCATTTTTGGGTGAACTATCCCTTTAATATTTTGTGAAAACTGATACGTTTTGTTTTTTTGTCGTTTTTTTTTTTTTTTTTTTTTTTTTTTACATTTTTCTGTATTCCATTTTAATGGTTTAATCAAAAACATATCTAATTAATTTAATTCATAAAAACAACTTAATTGAATACATGTTCAAAAGAACAGCATTAACAACATTAAAATATCATTAAAGATTTTAAGAAAATATTAGAATTAGATCGCAGTACTCTGGAATGATCTAATGAATGATCTCAGCCATTTCATATTTTGTGTAGGACTATTCTTTGTGAATACACATACTTTATAATTCTCTCCTGCTCTCTCTTAGGCTCTGGAGGAAGAGTTCACACGTAAACTGCAGGAACAGGAAGTCTTCTTTAAGATGAGCGGAGAGTCTGAATGCCTCAATCCCACCACCCAGAGCAGAGTCTCTAAATTCTACCCCATTCCCAGTGTGCACTCCTCCGGCTCTTAATCTTCACTGAGCTTTATCTAAAGTGAAGAAGAGCTGTTCCAGTCAAGAGCTCATTAGCCTTTTAAAGGTATGAGATCAGAATAGATGCATGGGTTGATATGAAATTCCAAAATACCTGAAAGTTGGAATCTAACAGTGATGAAGGACAAACCTCATGCATTACCTAGACATGCTTTTTTGCCACATTGAATCCAATGGATTAACACTTTAGTTTTCTGTATGTTGTCTTCTGGTCACGTTAATTTGTGCTTGAGACATTAGCACAAATTAGCAATGAATACTCTCAGGCAATATCTTGTCTTTGAGGAATACTTGCATGAGAATGCCTTAATGAGGGTCACATGATGCCCATAACAAACAAAATATTGCAAACAGAAAATACCACTTAAATGGTGAGAGGTCACATTTAACAGAACACGTGGACACACTAGTCACTGTTACACTCAATTCTCTAAATGTTCAAGTTGCACAGCTAGTAAATGAAGCTTCAGTACTGTTTGGTCTTGTAGCAGCTGTTATATGTTGTATTTTTTGAATACTCCTGTGAATCTGGCCTATTCTGTTTTTAATGTCCACGTAAAGATACTTTTAAAACAAACTACTCATTTTAACTTTTTCTTTTACTATTTGACTTATGGTTAAATATATTTGCAGTCAAGGAATGTAACCCGCAAGATGACATTGCACACTTTAAAACAAAAACATATGCAGTAGTGATCTCTTTAGTGCATTATGAAGGAAATAGTGCCCAAATATTTGTATACAATGATGTCATTTCTCATTTGGCAAGTCACTTTGTGGTCCAGAGTACCCGAGTTTATTTTTTTATGAGCAAATTAATTTCACATATTAGAAGTCATAGCCTTCTTGAATGTTTCATATATGGTGTTAAAAAGTTATTTATGGATTTAACTGAAGTTGAACGCTTTTATTGTTAGTTATTTTTCATGTTTCATCAATATATAAGGGCAATATGAACTTGCACATGCTAGATGGTTTATCTGAAGTTTAGATTTTCTTTTTATTAAAGGACACACACTTTGATAGATGTAGAGTAGTGTTTAGTCCATTGCAGTCTGCAAAAGCGTTTCAGTGGGAAGACATGAACATTTCTCGCTGTTGCTGAGGACTTTTCATCTGATTCAAGCTCTATTTTTGATAACACGTTTTGTGCGAGAAATTAAACACCTGTATCTTATCCATAATATGACATGCTGTGCTCATACTTTTTGCATGCTGAAAGAAATCCCAAATGCTGTAATTTACCAGAGACATTCATTTTTTTAATAGACAATGCATTTTACAAAGGCTGGTTCTAAAAGTTAGTATTTGCACAAACAGTGCATTACACATCAGGATACTTGTTCAGAGACAGAAAGAAAGGGCCGATATCCCAGTGTCATACTGCTGAACAGTGACCTTAACCTCCTGCAGCACTTTGATGGAATATAGGATGCATTTTTTAGGTCAATTTATGTATCTAATCGCTTGTGTCCATTGGTATACTGTAATAATGCTGTAAATAAAACTCATTGTATTTTCTTTGATTTGTTTGGTGTTTTTTGTAGCTCAGTATCGAAACCGTTTGGGTAGGAGTAACATCATACTCCATTCTTTGTTACACATTCAGTGGCTTTTTACTTGTAATAATAACTCACATTACAGCACATGGTCTAAAAAAATCTCAAGTGTTTAAGACCCCTTTTTTAGTGTACCATCCATGTTACTTTTCAAAAAAAATGCAAACATCATCATAGACAAGATTCATACAATACAAAAAAAAGGCAATTACAAAGTCCACTACTGGGTAGAAAGTACATTTCAAGTGCTATATTGTATGTTAGATAATGAAAACTAAGACTGATGTCTTAAACCCACGCTAGTAAAGCTGAAAATTGTTTGAAATGTATGGATTATAATATTGCATGCATTTGGTTGATTATAAAACTGTGATAAAATAGGACCCAAACAAGCATCTGAGCTGTGTTACTTCATAAAAAAAAGGTTAGTTTATGAATTTATCTTAAAGATATGTATTGTTTCTTTACGCCGTCAGTGCATCCACGAAAGTGTGCTGCTGCAAATGTGTGTGCCCTTACACACCACTGGTCCGAATCCATCTACCAGTCTGGACATCACCTAAAGTTATATATAGAGATACATGTCAGAATGACTGCTGGATCCAGCGCTGCCTTAAAATACATCATTTGATGATTTTTACATAAATGTGATGACATAAAAACCTTGAATATTATTTCATGCTAGGATACAGTACATGATGAGAAACCAAGTATACTATGACTGATAGTAGTTTTCTAACCTTTTTCACCCTTTTCTCCCCTTGGTCCCTCTGGTCCTCTTTGTCCTGGAAGGCCGGGTATCCCTGAGCTCCCCAATTCCCCTGTAGATCACATACAGTTTTATATTCACAGCTTTTCACTTTCATGTTCAAGCAGGCAGCACTTCAGTTCGATTTCTTGTCCAGTAGGGCTATATGAATCATGACTGGTACCTTTTTCTCCTTTAGGACCAGGGTATCCTCTGTCTCCTTTGGGTCCTGGCCTGCCAGGAGGCCCTGGGATGGTCCCATATGCTGAAAAGATAAATAATGTTTAGGAATAATGATACAAGACAAATACAGTGATTAAATATTTAATCAGTGTATGTGAGTAAAAGCGGATACTAACTTCTAAAGAAGTCAATTAAGTCAGCCGTCACATTTCCATAGGCACCAATCACACGGCTGTACCCAGGTGGCCCGGGAGGACCAGGAGGCCCAGCGGGTCCTTGGATCCTACCTGCTTGTGTTCTCCAGTATCCCTCTGTCAGGTCCTGCAGTATACCTTGATCTAAAGGAAACAAGCAAGATGGATTTGCTCACTGTCCCTGTGATGGACTGAACATCTGTCCACAGTGTTTCCCTGACTATGGCCCAAGACACTCGGATTGGCTCCTGTATCTCTGCAACTGCATCGGATTTTGGAAAAAGGATGGATTTGCTTATTATTACAGTGCTTTGTACTATTAGACACAATACTGCCAGCTACTCGCATTACAGCAAACCTGAATCATACACCACACACAATTACAATTAGTGGTGTTTTGTTCCTAAACGAGTCAGTGTTTTTGAACAAATCGATTAGATGAATGTCTCAGTGACTCACTCAAACAGATAGCAGCTGCATCCAGATATGCATATTTCCCTACTATATAGTTGACTAAAGAACAGTATGTGAATGATAAATATTTCCAAATTCACAGTACTCATAAAACAATAAAGAAAAAGTCACAGAAGATGAGCATGAATTCCAGTGCAGCGCTTCTGTTTTAACAATGAAAGAGTGCGAGGTAAGATGTAAGTACATTTAAAATATGAGATCTATTTCACAATAAAAATGTTAATTGATCATCAGTACTATCCAGTTATATCAAATTTCTCCGTTTTGAATTGAAAATAGTCTATTGTGATTAATGCAATTTATAACACAATGTGACAAGATTGAAAACATTAACATAGCTGTTTTCTGCATAGTAGGCACCCAATTTAGAGTAAATTTGTGCATATTTAAAAAAAAATACTTGCAAATAAATTAAAATGGATTGATTTCATATAAATTCGAGTTTTCTACTGTTCTCCATCAATCCCATTAAATCCTTCAATTATGTAATGCCTACAAATAAAAAGTTGAATGTATTAAGTCCAGAATACATTAATACTATATAGAACAGGGGTGCCCAAACTCGGTCCTGGAGTGCCGGTGTCCTGCAGAGTTTATATAGAACATACTTTTTTTAACGTGACATAATTACTTAAAAGAAGCATCTACTTAGAGAGGAGAACAAATTGGTTAAATGAATGATTCAATGGCTCACTCTTAAAGACAGTAACTTGTTAAGGACTAGGAAGCACTAGGAAACCAAAGCATACCTAAGACTGCATTGCAAGTGTGGATATTTCTTTCAGGAATCATAAGATCAAGTTAATTTTACTGCTTTATTATGAATATAACTCTGGCGCATAAGACTTGAATGACACTGTACTCACTCTTAATGTAATCAGTGACTTTGAGTGCAACATTGGAGTAGTCCACTGGTTCACTGATCTCAGAGCCATAGCGGTATTGGCTTCTGGCACTGTGATAACTGTGTCCGGCTTCACCACGTTCACCCTTCTGACCAGGCGGTCCGGGAGGCCCAGGGGGACCATGAACGTAGCGCCTCATGGTGTCACCTGAAAAAAATATGAGACTATTTATTGATGCGGCAAACAACCACAAAGTGTTTCCAGGAACTGGTCAGACAAATCTAGGACAGAGAGTTTAAAGTCATGCATTTAACTTTGAGAATGTAGAATGGAGCGAGATCACTTGTTAAAATCAGTCAAGCGTTCACCAATGTAAAGTTACACTGAGGTGTCAGTTCCCAAATTAGAGTGTGTGGTGAGTGACACTCACTGTTTAGGTAATCCTGCAGCTCAGCACGGATCTGTTCTCGTGCAGAAGATCCTGAATATGATACAAGGCCCCTAGTGTCTCCTGGAAGACCCTGGGGTCCTGGTGGGCCAGGTAGGCCAGGAGGTCCCCTAAAACCAGACTCTAAATAACAGAGAATCATATAATGATTTTTTTTGCAACTGCAAACGTGTATCAGACAGTAGAATAAAACTCATGAGAGGACTCACTCTGTAGATAGAGCTGGATGTCCTCTAGTTTGTAACCAGAGATTGCAGAGGAGCCTCCTGGGGTGCCAGGCGGACCAGGGGGTCCCTGTATACCTTGAGGACCAGGGGGCCCAGGACGTCCAACGCTTCCACTAAGCCCTGACCCTTCAAACACATTCAAAGTGGAATATGAGGAAAGGAAACCCTTTACATGTTAGAAAACAAAATATTGCAAAAACACAAGTACATACTCTGAAGCAGAGTGGTTATTTCACTGTAGGAAGCACCTGGCTGGCCAGGCTGCCCAGGTGGGCCAGGAAGACCTGGTGGTCCAGTTCTGCCTGTCATCCCCTGCTCTAAAAACACAAATTTACAAATGCCTTTAATAAGACAGAATTCAATCTATTTCTGCTTTAAAATAAGATTCAGGTTAAAGACACACCATTCATCATTCTGATGGCATAGTTTGCCACTTCCTGTGCGCTAAAGGTACTAGCACTAACGCCAGGTGAACCCGGTGGTCCTGGAGGGCCAGTCACATAACGCCTCACATCTTCTCCTGAGCATAAGAAAGTCACTGGGTCAATTCTTAGATTCAAGATTCAAAAGACCATTTATACAAGCGGGTCTGACATGGTTTACTCACTCTGTAAAAGGGAAATGATGTATTCAGCACTTATACTTCCAGGTGGGCCAGGAGGTCCTGGAGGTCCTTGAGGACCTTGGCCAATACTGTTACCACTAATTCCAGAGCCTGAATCAAAATTATATATTTTACCACAAATGCAGTAGGACACACAGACATACATTAAACATTACACAGCAGATCTTAACTTACGCTGAATGTAAGCGATAACCCGAGACGCCACGTCCTCTACAGACACTGAAGGCCCAGGTGGACCAGGTGGCCCCTGAATACCAGACAAATGCTGCCTCATGCTGTCACCTGTGGAAAAGATGTCACACATTCATGAGAAAATGACCTTCAGGAGCAGGAGTGTGATCATCCAAATCAACAGGTACTCACTCTGCATATACTCCATGATGTAACGACGATAGTCTGCAGTAGAATGGGATCCACTAGAATGACCTGGAGGACCAGGAGGTCCTGGGGGACCAGGCCGCCCTTGGGGCCCGACTGCAACTGCTCCTGATACTGAAGGCAACAAGAAGTGATACAATGGTTACGATACTGTTTTGCTTTAGGAACCTCATTTGATAATCTAATAATGGTGCTATATTAAAGATTTAGTTCACCCAAAAATGAATAGGATTAGAGAACTTGGAAAAAAACACTTAATTTGTGTTGAACGAAAGATGAACGATAGTCTTATGGATTTGGAACGAGATGAGGGTGGTAATTTTTGGGTGAACATACGTACAGTGCAACATATTAACATTTACCTCTAGATTCTCCTTGGAATGTTGATGTACCTGGTACTCCAGGATCTCCTGGGAAATTATTTTAAAGATTATTGTACTGTAGATATTAATGAACGGGAATACAATGTCTCTTCATCATTATTCAAGTTTTTTACCTTTACGCCCATCTCGTCCGGGTGTTCCAGGAGGTCCTGGGGGACCAGGTGGACCTTGAGCCACACCATACTCAGAGACTTTATAGAATAAAAAATAAATCATTATTTCCATATTATTTATTGTTTTTATGAACACTTAAAAACATATAATCTCTTGACAATATTTTAATGAAAAGCAAATTAAGTATTATAGGGTCTAAATTAAATATAGGGTTAACTTACTAACTCTACCGGGACTCCCTGGAAGGCCAGGTTGACCTGGTTCCCCTAAAAAAATGTCACATATGACAAATAAAGCACTATTATAAGACGTGGTGATCTAAGTACTTTATGTGTTTTACTGTGTATATCAGTTCTTGTGACCAATATGAAGTGTTGGCTGGAGAATGGAGCCTCACCTTGGTATCCTCTTGGACCCTGGGCACCTGAAATTTACATAAATATATAATTTAAGTATCTGATAATAGTTAAGTATCCTACTTTCTGACATCACATTTTCATAGTGTCTTCACTGGTGATAGGCTGGAATAAAGGTACCAACAAGTAGAATCAATTAAACACAAGTTCTGGGTAAGACTCACCTGTTGCTCCCGTAGGCCCTGGAGGTCCTGATGGCCCAGGTGGTCCCGCAAAAAATGTTCCTGTGTAAAATTGTGAGACTTAAGAAACCACAACACTCTTAATGCATAGACCCAGACATATGCTGGAATCAAACCTGAATTAGGCATAAAGTTTCCTGAATCTCCCTTGTCTCCTTTAGGACCAGGTCTGCCATATCCTATGAGACAGTAACAAAAGAGCTGAGAAGAGTATGCCACTACAGGAAAGTATGAGAATAAGCATGAATGTTCACCTTACCTGGTGCGCCTGGTTCACCAGGTGGTCCCGGTGGACCTGGTCTAGAATCACCTATAGGAATAAAAAACATTTTTCTTTATGCAAAATGTGTGTAAAATGGCCATAAACAAGTTTTTCCATTATATACAATGTATCTATAAACTGTATCTAATTTGCGTATTAATGTGTTTTTGGGGCAACATAGAATGAACAAATAAGTGTAATAATGGGAGTAATAATTAGCAAGATTTTCATAATAATATCTAATATTGAATAGGAATGTTGATACATAATTTTTTCTCTATTCATTTGTTGTGTCTCCCAAAATGTGTAATAAACATGCTTTAAGTCCTGGTGTCCTCTACAGTGGACATGTATGAAATCGACGTCCTGTTTCATAACAGAAGGCAAGCTCATATTTTGATTTGAAACCCCATAACATTTTCCTGAGATGTTGATTTATGACAATTTGAAAATTAATCAGATTTAAATGATAATTACAAAATATTATCATATTTCCATTAGGGTGTTACATTTGATCACTAAATGAATGTCAGCCATTTTTAAAGACCAAGGAGAGGGCGTGGTCATGGTGAAACATCCGATCATTTGGTATCTCTGGAAAGCCCTGAATGTGCTCTGTACAGGACATCCAGACTTAAAACTGTGACATGTAACGTCTCAGAGAAATCACTAAAACATAATGTCCTCTACAGAGGACAAAACTCCATAACTGGTAGTCAGGAGGATATATAGCTAAATAATTAAATAAATATTACATTTCACATTCAAAAGACAATGTGTGTGGCAAAAAAATCAGATGCTGATCCTTAAGCGTTTCATGTATAATGTTATGGTACCTGGATGTCCAGGAGGCCCTGGGGGACCAGGAGGACCAGGTGGTCCAGAAACACCAACATGTGCAGAACCATACTGTCCTAAAAAGGACACAAGTATTAAATTAATGCATTTCTATAAGTTCCTAATGTTCCAAATAGATCTTTTAAATAAAGACTCACTTTCTGTTCGCGTTGCAACCAAAGTCTCACCAGCGCTAACAGCAATACCCGGTTCTCCTTGATCTCCCTTATCACCTTTAGGACCTGCACAAAAATCAAGGTGGATGGATGGAAGGTCATTTGGATATCATTTTTATTTTACTAATATACAATATTACACAGGAACACCAGATGAAAAATGCAAATTTACCAGGCTGACCAGGAAGTCCAGCAGGGCCAACGGGTCCTAGCGTCATAAGACATACATTGATTGATCAAATCAAATGATAAATATACTGATGTACCCAAACAGTGCAATTAGTTCAAGCATATGTCATTCATTGGATTGTTCAAATATACAAAGCACACAGTGATTTCACTGATTAACAAGAGATTTTGTAATCTGGGTTTTTAAAAGGATAAAGATTATGAACATACCTGAGAGTCCTGGAGATCCAGGTGGGCCAGGAGGACCAGGGCTCCCAGGTGGTCCTGGGATTGCCACTGAGCTAGAACCTGCTGTAAAATTAAAGCTCTCAATGTAAGTTGACTGCGCAGTGGACTGTTAAATGTGTTTTAATACTTCATGTAGTCTTACCTGCATTGATCACTCTTCCAGGCTCACCAGTCTCACCTGTGAACATTTTCAGATTAATTATTTAAACATTCGTAGACTTAGTTGCACACACATGATTCCAATGTCCAATAATAAGACAAAATATATTGCTTAAAATGCAAGACTTCAAAAAGCAGCTAAACATTGATCCTACGGTCTATTATACAAAAACAGCCACCATACAGCACCTTTAGCTCCAGGCTGACCAGGATTGCCAGGTAGGCCTATGCAAAAAGAAACATGTTGACCATTATATCTTCAAACATAGTTGAGATAAACTGTAAAAATCTAAATTGCATAAAAATGTAAAACATACATTATGCACATAAAAGAATGCAGTTCAAGTGACAGGTTACCTGGAGGGCCTTGAATCCCTTGAATTCCTGATTTAAAGAGAAAAAAATTTAAAAATCTAACACAATTCACCTATTTTTTCAAACATTATTAAACTTTAGTAATTTGAATGTGTAACCACATGGCGAATGATAGAAACTGTTATAACATGCAGATTAAGGTCATTTTTTCAAAATGAGGATCATGTTTTTCTATTTTTTATTTATATTAAATGAGGATTCATGTTTTTATACCTGGTTGCCCGGGATCACCGGGTGGTCCAGGTGGTCCTCTGATTCCTGGTAAGCCAATTGAGCCTGGCTCACCTAGATATGAGCAAAAATGATACAGAATACAGACACAGATTAAAATAAAGATGCAGATATAGGTACATAATAAAAAAACATTATTTGACTTGGAATCATCAAACCTGAAAATGCCTCTCACCTCTTTGGCCCTTTTCGCCATCAGGTCCTTGAGGCCCTAAAATGAAATGACAAAATTACTATCTGGGGACTTCTTTTTACCAATCGAAGATTCGCATTAAAGAGGTCCAGACAATAATAGAGCTTAAATGAATAGATTCCATGCACCCACAGCCAACTAAGCAGATCCAGTCTTGGAATATACAATATAGTAATACTATTTATTGATTTAGTTTTAGGAAAACAAATAAATGCCACAAACAAATTCTGCCCGTTTTCCATTCATTTAGATATACTTGAGACTTTAACATTCAAATTTTTGGGGGTCGGTAAGATTTTTTAATGACTTTGAAAGAAGTCAAAAATACAAAAATATTGTGAAACATTATTATAGTTTTAAAAAGCTTTATTCTATTTCATTACATTTTAACAGGCAATTTATTCCTGTAATGGAAAAGATGAATTTTCAGCAGCCATTACTCCAGTCTTCAGTGTCCTTTAGTCATTCTATTATGCTGATTTGGCATTAAAGAAACATTTCTTATTATTAGCAATGTTGAAAACAGTCATGCTGCTTAATATTTTTGTGCAAACCGTGATGAACAGAATGAACAGCATTTATTTGAAACTACATTTTTTTTGGTGTTGATGGCCAACACATCACGGTTAAAAATATAGCTCTGTCTGATGTTGAACTGTATGCATATAGTGCTGATATACAGTATACAGGCAACCTGAATTGGACCCTGGCAATTAGTCATTTGCTGATTCCCCGCCACACTTTTCTGCCTATCACATGTCTGTTCTCTCCCTCTTCTAATAATAAAATGGCAAAAAGCCAAAAATCTCAGGTTTGTGTGTGTTCCTACAGATGAATCACCTGCGGATCCTTTAGCTCCTTTCTCACCAGGTGGCCCTTGTCGTCCTGCAGCACCAGAAGCACCTGATAGAGGATACAGGGATTTAACAATGAATCAAATATTTGTAAACATGGCACAAATGAATAAAGTTCTTATGGCTCAGTACAAATATACACACCTGGCGATCCATTTTCTCCTCTATCACCATGATCACCTGACACAACACATACACAATTTTACATGAATTCACATTGACTATAATGAATACTGTATGTCAGGCTGACATATAATTAGCTACAAACCTTTAATTCCAGGTGGACCAGGAAGTCCTCTATCACCTGGAAAGAAATTTTTTTTTTTTTTTATAAACATTAGGATTTTATTCATATACGTACTGTAATGCTTTGTGAAAACACACCAAGTGTTCATTGTGATACACACCTTTAGCACCGGCAGGGCCATGTTCACCTCTGAAGCCTTGAGGGCCTTGTTCACCTACACAGAAAACATTTTATTTTTTGTTACAGATTTAATGTCATTATTTTAGAACACAAAAAATTTACAAAATGTCACTAAAATATTTTTTTGTAAAGAAAGAGTTGATTACCATGTAAACCACTGGGACCTGTTGAACAAACAAACAAAAAGAGAACAAAGATCAAACACATGCAAATATTGCATTACTGCTTAATGATTATGTAAACATTCATATTTAAGTATATATATTTATGCCAATGCATTTCATTTGCCAATCTCAAATGATTCTGTACAGCTAATTTCACTGAATATAATAAGTATTCGCCTTTATATAAATTGCTTTTTGTGTACTGACCTTTAGGCCCAGGTGGACCAACAAGACCAGGAGAGCCAGGAGGACCAGGAATACCTGAAGAAAAAATAGATACACAGACACATTGTAAATGAGATCAAAACAGCAGTTTTATTCTTAAATTTACGTTGTGTATGAGAACCCTAAGTTGTAATGAATGAAATACTAAAAATTAAATGCTAGGATCATGTTTCAAGAGCCATATTCTCAAAGTATGCAGTATCTTACCCCTTTCACCCTTCTCTCCGGCCCCTGGGGGTCCTGGCTCTCCACGGGGTCCAGGCTGACCATCTCTTGCTCTGAAACCTGGTGGTCCTTCTGGACCACGTTCACCTGTCATACACATTTTAAGGTTTTGATGAGGCAACATCTGGAAAAGGTTCATTCTTTTTTTCAAAAGAACTAAGAGCATTAACAGGACTGAGTCAAGTGTTCACAGAAGAGATGTATCTTGAATGTAGGTAGGGCCTAGTCTGTCAACTGGATTGTAAGAATTGACTATTTAAAGTTATTTGTTAGTGCTACAGTATTAGCACCTGTCAGATGCAGCATTTATGGACTGTATTTCTAAACCTTAACCTCTAGGCCTTATCTTTTGGGCTACTTGTTAATTTACTTTGTGATTTAAACACAGAATTAATGATGGTGAATGATTTTCCCACAAAATAAAAGTGCTGCCTAATGTTTCAGGTACCTGCACTTCCTTTTTGTCCTTCTCTTCCTGGATGTCCTGGCATTCCTGGTGGACCTAGAGATGCACATCAAAAAGCAATGAAATCTGTTAAGACTTCATTCTGCACAACTGTTAAGATTAGCTCTACAGAGGATCAAACATTATTCATACCTGGAAGGCCTGGAAAACCATTATCTCCTGAAAAACAGTTAAAATTGTTTTAAGTTTTCATGTTTAAGACTGTAAGCAGATCAATATAAACATATAGTTCAACTAACAGACTTTTCACAGCCAGTTTTAAAATTGTACAAACCCTTTGTTCCTGGAGATCCAGTGTCACCTAAAAGTGGTGAAAAGAGCAAATGTGTGACTGATGTAGTAGTGATGGAAAAGCAGGTTACTGACTATTAATTCTCCATAGAATGTATAAATAACATTTTCTGTACTGGCAGTTCAGTAAAAACTATATATCTGGTGTACCTTTAGGCCCTGGAAGTCCTCTTTCAGCTTTAACTGAAGAAGCAAGGAAGGCTAGATACACAAAAAGTATGTATTAAATTTAATCTTATTTGTATTAAACATATGCATATATGCGTGACATTTTATAAACAATGTACATGTTTAGGTGCATGTGTTGTTTGTGTGTCTAGGCAGAACTGTGTTCACACGTACCTTTCATGGCTTCAGACTGCAGCTCTGCTCTAAGTATTTGCTGTACATTTCTTTGCAGTACAGAATTGTCTGAATAAACTGCAGAATCCAGTGAATTAACATAAGCCGCTTTACTTCCAGCTTCTTTATATATGCCAATGTCATCAATAGGAGCGGACAGACGACTCGTGTGAGCTTTCATGGAGGAGGATATTCCCTCAAGAGCACTGACACGAGACTTTAGTTTCTTTACCTCCTCAGCTTCAAGGAAAAGAGATTTGCTTCAGATTAGAAGACAATATGCAATAGCACATATATCTAAGTTAGGCAGAAAACCTATTCTTGAGTTGAACTGCACACAAACAGTAATCCTCTGTTGATAAATACACATTGATACATAAGATATACAATTCCCTTCTCCCAAGTTAAACCAAATCCACAGAGGTAAGAATGCTTATTATTTTTTAAATAACTTCTTAATAAAATTTAAAATACAATTTTACATTTTATTTAAATTATTTGGTGAATCATAATTTGCCTCACATTTTGAAAACCTTCTTCTGTACAGTTTTAAAATGAAGCTACAAGCTGTTTCAAATGTTTTATTAGCTATAACTTTACCCCAAGAGAAATAGTGAATAAATGAATCACGTCTTTCATTAAAATGACTAGACTTACATAAAGCAATGAGTCCAAACAGAAGGCCGAGGAGCAACAGGAGGCTGAGCAAAAACCCCAGCAGCCACTTCCACCAGGAACAGCAGTTTGGCCCACATCCACAAAGACCCCCTCCACAATTACAGCCATCATCCTCATCATCAACAAACTTCGCCTTATGAATCTCTGACAGGACACACACAGGAAGAGACTGGTGATTCTCTGTTTCATACAGTATGACTGTACATTCTTCTGTGTGCACTGTTTTTTTTTTGTTTTTTTTTAATAAAAAGGTTTTACCTGCATAAGTAGCTTTGTCTTTTGTTGACACTGATGTAGGCCCATCTTTAGAGAGGTAAAAAAAAAAAAACGGTTTTGTGATGTCAACAGATATTTTCAATATTTCTTTGAGACAAGCAGTGCCTCAAGATGAAAACATGTGAATTAATCTTAATATGCCTCAAGATGAAAACATGTAAATTAAAAAAACTTCAAGATACATGAAAATTAAGCCCTTACAATGTGTGCCAGAGCTAGACTTTACAGGGGCACTTTCAGAATAGCTGGTCATCATAGTTTCCTTCTTCACTGAAACATCTGAATACGACCCTTAAAAGCAAAGTGTGTATTCAGTTAATCAGAATGTAGTGTTAGTGTAGGTCATAACATTAAGCATGTTATATTTCAATTTGCTTTAATTCCCCTTGCAACATCAAATAAAAATCTAGTGTCCTGTGTTTACCTGCTGTCCCATTAGGGGTGCTGTTTGTAAACTGCTTGCCACTGTCTTTGGTCAGGATAAGTTCTTCGGTTTCTCTTCTCACTGGAATGTTCTCTTTCTCCAGCGTCAGGTATCTCTTTGACACATTCTCATTAAGGGTCCTTGTACCAGTTCCTAAATATGACACAAAATCTTCCTGTTTATCAAGCCACACTGAATAGCCATAAATCTTTTTCCTGTGTGAGTATAACAAACACCTGAAGTGGAGACTCCTGTGCTGACAGCAAGAGTGCTGATGGGACTTGAGGAATAATTCTTCTGCACTCCATATCCTAAAAATACACACATAACAAATAAACAAAGATGTTTGAATGTCAAGTATTTCTTTGTCACTTATAAGGACACTGTTCATCAAGCAACAATAACTACCTCTTTAGAGAACTAAAGATAGTTCTGATTTTTACAACATTTTCACTGACCCAAACAGAAAAACACTAGGATCTATTAAATTGGACAAAAGTGTCAGTAAAGACTTTTACCTGGTTGCAATCTATCATAGTTTCCACAAATATATTAATCAGCAAAACTGTTTTCAACAGTGATAATCAGAAGATATCAATCATCAGAAGAAATGTTTCTTGAGCAGCAAATCAGCAAATTAGAATGATTTCTGAAGGATTATGTGACACTGAGTTTTGCTATCATATGATGATAATACATCTTAAAGTATAATTAAAATAGAAATCTGTTATTTATATTCAATTGCATAGTAACATTATTAATACATTAATTATTATTAATTACTGTTTTACTTTATTTCGATCTAATAAATGCAGCCCTGGTGAGCATAAGAGATGTCTCTCAAAAACCTTACCAACCACTAACTTCTGAACAGCAGTGTATTTAAAGTATATAATGTTATATTTACAATTTTCATCAAATGTTAGGTTTTTTTTTAAAACACAATGAAATACAGTGAAAACTCATACTGATTTGTTGATTATTTTCATTCCATCCTAACTGCTGCCTCTAAGCCTCTATTCATGCAATTTCACCAAAACCTCATTTATGTTAACATTGTAACATATTTAAACAGCAGAACACTGTTTACTACTTTGACAGTTCAGCACTGGGCGACAGAGCAAGTGACGATTCTATCAACTGTCCCAAAACTCTCTCACATTTCACATTGGGTTTGTTGTTGAGCTATGCTGTACAGAAAAAAATATAACAAACACCTGTGGTGAAGACGCCTGTGCCAACACCAACAGTGTTGCTGGGACTTGTCAAATAATTCTTCTGCACTCCGTATCCTAAAACATAAACAACTGAACATGCTTACAAGGAATGTTATTAACTTGTCATTTGTCAAAGCAATGTCATCACAATTATTTAATATTTTACACCTCAGAGGATACCTGAGTGTGTGTTAACTCCACTGGAAGTTAGAACTCCACTCGCAGGAGCTAAATTGTTGTGGTAGCCATACACTGTAAGTCAAGAAATAACATGTATTTAGCTAATATATTTGTTGGAGGACCTTGCCTTCAACTGAATGTTTTGATGTATTAGTAGGCTAGTTTTATTTATAATACATCAGAAAATAGAGTGATATTGGTGATGACTTGATAAATTCTTTTTATTATCAGGTCAGCTTAGTAAATCAGTGTTCAACTGCGCAGACCTGATAAGGAGGATGGTGATGTGCTGTTAACAAGAGTAGCTCCCGTTGACATGTTGTTGGTGTTGCTGTTGAAGCCGTAAGCAGTACCAGTGGAGACTGTAGAGGGCAGTGTGGAGCTGTTCCATGTGTATGAGGCCAGGTCAGCGTCAAGAATAGTGGTGTCATATTGCTCGACTGAGAAAATTGAAAGGAAGTCTCAACGCCTTGGAATTGAACACAAGATCTCTATGCACGGATGAACCGGGGAATTTGGATTTTTTTTGTGCATGAAAATAAATAGGCTCTGCACACCATAGGTGTGGTAGGAGTGTTAACTACTATAAAATCTTTACTAATAGGCTATGTAAGCTTTACTAATAATGCATGATATGTCAACGCCCTGAGCTCTTCTAATCCAGCTTTCCATACCTTGCTTTGTGGAGATCTTGGTGTCTAAGGTGCTGGCCTTGCGAGGTACAGGGAGAGGGGAGGAGGAGGGAGATCGTGTGGGGCTGACGCTGGCCGATCGTGATCCCTTTAGCAGCTTCTTCACATCATCCAGCTCTGTCCCTGTAGCAGCAGCACTGTATTAGTCGTGTCTAAACGTGCCTTCAGGTTCACTATCTCATACTACTGTCCGCTGTGGCGTTCAACAACCTATAGCTTTTCCTTGAGCCTCTGAGAAGAAAAAAAACTGAATAGGCTACATTTGTTTGATTCCTCAAGTTTTAACGGGGCTGTTTAAACATTTCTCAACATATTAGTTTAATTCAGTAAAAAAAAAAAATCGAATTATATTATTATTATTATAGCCTATTTATGTGAATCCTTAAGACAACTGAATTAGAAAGAAATAGAGGGATAACATACATCTAGTGGAGGGAGATGCACTCTGAAGCCTGGTCCTGATTTCCGTCTCTACAACAGTAACACAGATAGACATATTTTAACTAATAATTATCTCAACATTATTTCAACACCAACACATATATTTAGCACATATATTTAAATATGTAACTGATCAATAATGTCCAGGAACCAGTGTTGAGAAACATTGAACGCAACTTGGCGATGTTTACTTTCTATTGACGACTTACCGCACACTGTCCAGTTTATTCCCCAACTACTTTTCAAACTCCATAGATATTGAATATTGAATTGAGTGGAAATTATTTTATTAATTACTAGGGGAAAAACGGGAACTAATAGGCCTTAGCTACTACAGAACAGGAACACAGCTGTAGGAAACAATCATTCTACAGTAAAGATGATTATCCTATGCAAAGTAATTTCTATACTATTTCTATGCATTAGTGTAAATAATAATCTCACCCCTGCTTTGACTCCTTCCTCTTGTTGAACCTGGAAACAGAGCAATTAAAATAAAAGCTGTTTTTTGTCTCCAAAACAAATTTCTTGTCACCATCATATAAAACGTTTATTTGTCTGAGTGTCTTACCATAGTCCTTTCTTTTTATTTCTGGGGATGAGCTGTCACTTGAGCTTCCTGTTGAAGTTTTAAAAAAATTATTACATGCTAGTGTAGCTAATTATGAAGGACTGACTAAAAATGCTATTTATTTATTTAAGGTGTCTCAGCTGTGACTAACCATCATAACGACGTGAATGAGTAGTTTTGCTTTTCCTCTCCACAAACAAAGGGGGGTCTTGCGTTCTTCTCATGCCATCAGTGGAGCTGGATCTCACCCTCGACCCTGTTCCCGATCCAGAGACACTCTCGAAAACTCCAGAGGCACCACCTGTCTTCCTGCTCACAGTTGTCTCCTCTACCAGATATTCCCCTGATCTAGAGCCGAACCCACCTGCACTCACACCCACAGATGCTGAGACACAGACACAGGGACAATTTTAGCCATTTACAGATATATGAGATATATTAAACATATAGAGTGAAGTGAAAAAGTGAAGTGAAAGTGACATGTGGCCAAGTATGGTGAACCATACTCGGAATTAGTGCTCTGCATTTATCCCATCCAAAGTGCACACACACAGCAGTGAACACACACACCCAGAGCAATGGGCAGCCATTTTTGCTGCGGCGCCCGGGGAGCAGTTGAAGGTTCGGTGCCTTGCTCAAGGGCACCTCAGTTGTGGTATTGAAGGTGGGAGAGAGCGCTGTACATTCACTCCCCCCACCTACAATCCCTGCCGGTACGAGACTCAAACCCGCAACCTTTGGGTTACGAGTACAACTCTAACCATTAGGCCACAACTTCCCCTAGTATAGCTCTTATAGAGTATAGCATATAGAGTATAGCTCTTCAAAAATAATGTTTGATTGGCTTACAGGATGAGAAAAAAGGACTGCTGTTGTTTTGAGTCAAAATGTTCTTCTCCAGGCCAGAAGACCCAGAAGTGCTTGACATGCCCTTGTTGGCGGATGCACTGCAGCCTCCTGAGGGGTTAAAACACAGTAAATTACAGCAATGTCCACTTTGACCTCATACTGAAAAAGATGCTCAAGTTACAGCCACAGTATGAATTTTCCCATGATGCACAAATTCAGTAGAGAAACAAGGCATTGAATATGAATAAATAAGACAGTGAGAACAGATACAACTGTACATGGGAGGGTGAACGGGGGTAACTTACGTGGAGGTAAAGATGTAATTCTAGTAGTAGAGATTGTTGTTTCCGTGATGCCTGTTTTCATAAAACATGTCTTATAAATGTGAACAGTTCTTGCTTTGAAATTCAAAAACATATAGCCGAATAAAACATTCTCACTTCATCAATATAATAATCAAGCTTCTCAGTAACATTACAGAACCACTAGGTGGCACAGAAAAGATCTTCACAAAAGATTTTGGTTCAGGTTCGCAGCAAACTGATAAGCTCAAGCTAATCAAACACCCTTACCTCTATCTCCTGAACTTCCTCCTGAATAGTTTCTTTGCTGTCTTAAATCATCCATTCCATGCTAAATAAATGTAGCAAAACAATTACAGATCATTCAAACGAGTGTGATACGAAGCAGAATCAGTCTACATCTATAATGAAATATATACTATATTGACTGAGCATTAAGGTGTTTCTATTACAGCTGAACTGTGGGATAGTACTGGATGAGAAGAGCTGCAATACATATTATGCATATTATGTATTAATATTATACATAAACTTATTTAATCAGTTAAACTTAATTTGTGATATATTGCTGTATGAAATTACACAATAAATTGTTTTTACAAGATGATGTGTTTTACTGTCTTTGTCCTTCACAACAACAAGTCTTAACAAGAAATGTTAACTGCATGCGCACTAATAAAAGGATTTCTTCGCCTTCCTGGCAGATTCTACTCAGATTTCAAGGTGTGGATGTTATATAATTGCAGACTATTCCACATCAAAAAAATAATTATAAATGACACATACCCATATTCAACATTAATGAAAAATAATGCCTAAGGGGTAATTATTTGCTCCAACAAAAGACTAGCAAGTACAACTACAGTCTCATATTTACAGTGGAGAGAGTAAAGCAATTTATCACCACCCCACCCTCCTCACATCTTCAATTTCAAATGCAAGACCAGCTACTGTTTCCCTGCAAACCACAATACATGAAAAAGCTAAGCACAGTGAATGGTCCCCCACAGACAAATAATGCCTTTATTTGCTAATGGTGATTGTCCGTGCAGGGCTTTTCAGCCGGGACTTCAGAATCAGTTCAGATTTTAACCCAACTTTTTTCCCACTTCATCTACTGTGAAGTTTAGAATAAAACAATTAAACATTAAAAACATCTCATAATCAATCAAATGGACCCATAATTTGTCATTAATATCATAAAGATACTGTTTTAGTCTGGGTTCTAGTCTTTGGTGCAGTCCCGCACAGAAACAAGATCTAACGAAATCTGATTGTTCCATTTACAAATTAATAAGTATTTCAGGAGAGCAACGGGCTGATAGAAGCATATAAAAAGCAATAATTATGAATAAATAAGAAGGAATATATATATTTACATAGCCTAACAAAGCACAAATGTATTGCTTTTTGTTTATCGTTTCTCTTTTTTGTGATTAAAAGAAAAAGAGTTAGAAAGCAAAATCATTAATAAAATGTTTTACCTTTGATCCTAACTGAAGCACAGATGTAGGCTACTGCAAATAATTTATAGTTGCTCTTTTTGTGTAAGAAAAAAGGATAAAAGTTTGAAAGCAAAATCATTAATAAAATGTTCTACCTTTGATCCTTGAAAATCTGAAGAGAAAGGGATTTTAGATAAAGTCCACTTAAGAGTTGCCTGTGAACTTCACCTGTGCAGTATGAATGTTACCTGACTTCTGCTGTTTTCTTTCTGATTTTCTCTCTTCTTTGACCGGCAAGTTTCAACAGGACTTCTGGGTAGGATTTTATACCGAGCCCCTCCCCTGTCTTTTGGCAGGTACACAGACAGACTTTTAAAGAAGACAATACCCTCGGGAATCACAGTTTTATCCTTTATGTTCCAGCAAACTAAAGTTTTAGGACATGTTCAGGTGAACACAGGTGTGGCTGGATGCGTTATCTGTGCGTCAGTAACTTCGCCTAAACTGACACACATGAAGAAAAAAAGTTTAATCTACTACTGTTGACATAGCAGCAAAAACATGGCAGAAAATGCATTTCGTTCAGCTTGAAGCAATTAATATAAAATATTTTAGAATACATTTTTTAAGCCATTGTAAAATAAAGTTCCATGTTAGGTCATAAAGACTTAATGCTTCGTCTAGAAGAGCTCATGCTTCGGCTCTTATTAAAATACACTACAGAAGTGCTTTACGAGCAACACACATTGCATTCAAGATATACATTCTCAGGAAAAAAGGTAAGAAGCTGTCACTTGTAGAAAAGCGGTACATATTAAAGGTACATATTACTTTAAAAGTACATATTAGTACATAAAGTGTACATATTATTAGTACGCTTAAAGCGAGGGTACCGCCCCATTTGATAAGCTCGTACATTTTCTCGGAATTAAATCATGTTTAAACACCTTTCAAATCACCACAAAAAAGCATGCATCTTTAAATAAACTGTAGGAACATGACTATAATAATTTTACTTTAGCTGAATGTGTCAGCTGATTACTGAGAGAACATTTGTATGAAATGGGGTCAAACGAGGATATGTCCGGCTTTCATTACCAGCAAGAGTTTAACTAGTACTCATCGTTACATTAGTGTTAATGGATACCATTTTAGCCAATCTTATGTGATACATATGAAGTAATTGTATTACTCATTATAATCTGAAGACAGCTGGATCAAAGAACAATGCAAATGTTCTAAAAGGAATTCATGCACATACAAGTTTTCCACTGGAAAAGGGTGTTGCTTCCCTTGGGATTTACATGCCATTTTCTATGGATTCATTTTTTTTCCCAGTGAGCACACCCTGTTGATACAAAATGCACATTAGTCACAAAATTTTTAACTCCAGTCCATATGCATCCTTCACTGCATTAGACCCCATACAAATCTTAGAAACGTGAGAAGGCATGGTTGCATGACTATACAGCTATTAAACAATTTTAATTTCATAGACAAGTTATAACAAGGCAGAGAAGATTTCCAGTAGAAGCAGAAGAGTAATGGAGTTGTTTGGAAAAAAAAAAGAACATGAATGAACTGAACCACCAATATAATCATCTTAATTTGAAAAGAGAGTTTTTTTTCCTTCTGTTTTTGCAGTGGTTTTGCACAAGATGCTTACTGAGTAGGCCTAAGTATGTTTGTTATATAAGCTACATAATTAATGGATTCATCACTATAATGATTCAGTTTGATTCAATTATTTCAACATCCTTCTTTTTGATTTTTAAATATGGGTTCATTCAAACCGTGTCACCAATTTCACCTCTGATTCAGCTTTGGAACCCTATTAGTCTCTTTCAACTGCACGAGACAAGAAGACTGAAGAAATATGTTTAGATCTATCATATGTTATTCTTTATGTATATGGACATCCATAATTTTTAATTGATATAGCTACATAGATATATAACAGATATGTGTATATATATATATATATATATATATATATATATATATATAGTCAATATCTGTTAACCTTTTTTCTGTGTTATTTTGTGATTTAAAAATAATAAAGTTGCTGCATTCTAAGTTTTAACCAATTATGTATTTTTTATAATACAGTTTCTCTTCCAAATGTCTCCTTCAACCATGTTGTCTACCTACACAGTTAGTTTAAGGTAATATGCGTTTATTAATTTGTTCATATTGTCATTTTTGTCTAAGTCCTAACTGAATGGTGCAAAATATTATCTGGTAAAAATGGACTACAAAAATACAAATATAATTATATTATTTTAATAACTTACAAAGCATATTATTAAACTTACAACTATTATATTCTATTCTATTCTATTCATAAATTACCTCTAATAAATTAGAAAACAGTTCTTTATAGACTACGTTTCCCATGATTCATGATAATGACAATGACGTATCGACGTCCCGGAAATGACGATGAAATAAGTGGATCTTGCACCAATTTCAAAACATCAGTGTCTACTGATAACTTTAGAGCTGTAAAGATCCTATTTACTTAGAGTTGCTTCCGATTGTATTTTTACGCCAGAAGAAACGTGAATAGTACCCTGTTCACTTTAGAGTTATGTAGCCGTTTTCGCCTCTTCATAGCGACCTTATGTGGTGTGAATCATGGAGATAACTCCGATAAAACTGACACCAGCTAACGAAAATACACCAAATACATCTCAGACTTCTTCTTCAAGCAGGTCAAGCGCTAACAAGGTACATCTTATTGCCTTTTTGATATCTAATATTTTCAGATGATGCTTAACATTAGCAAAGAGTAACGTTAGATACACCACGTCCAAAAATTGAAAGGCCTTGTTTTTCACAAAAACATAATCACTGTGTCTAGAATCACACGAGCATTGTTAATATTTTGTTGACATTTTTCCTTTAGCCCATGAGTTCCTCACTGAAGGAGAAGTTAAAAAGATCACGCCACTCATTCAGATCCCCCCTCAGTATGGTTAAACGCCTTAAAATAGAAGATGACAGTCAACCACAGACCTCACAACCGGGAGACAGAGAGACCGATACTGATGTCCATCGGAATATGAGGGAGCAAAGAGACTGTTCACATCACACAGCTGAGCCTGCACAAAAGCACTTGATTCAGCAATGTGAAGAGCTAAGAAAAGCAGTGAAGGAGAAATCAGAAACCTTGCGAAGATTAAAGATGGCTAAGATGTATAGAACAAAGGTAAACATCTATTTCTAAGTCAAGTATTGCCAAAGGATGATGTTCTAGAAGTTTTTCTTTCTTTGCTTTGTCTTTTCTCATAGAATGACCTGACCCAGCTACAGAGACTCATAGACAAATGGAGATCCTGTGCTCAGTCTGTGCTGTGTGAATTACAGAGTGAAATACCCTCAGAGGGAAAACAAGTCAGTCTTTCTCAGCTTATAGGCAGTTTGGGGTTAGATGACAAGATACTGCACTTTGACAGGACAGAGGAAGACTTCACAGACAACTGAAATTCATTGTATTGTATTATTTTATTGATAATATTTAAATGGGTTGTAAGAAGCCTTTAAAATTTTCAACCAAAAGCTGTTATAATAAATCTCATTTATGTATCCGGAATCAGTTGTAGTTTAGTTGAGAAAGAGATGGGAAGTTCTTCATACGCAGTTTCTCAACCTCCGCTTGCAGTGTGAGTATCTCTTCAGATTGTGCTCCAGCTATGTTCAACAGCTTCTTTCTCAAGATGATGTCTTGGTAGTTCTTCTCTGCCTCTGTCTCCTGGTTATCTCCCATTGCTGGATAACAACATTTTGTGAATAAGTAAATATAAATTAAAGTTATTGGGCCTTATTCATGAACACTCAGCAGAATGTAAATTACAAAACATACTGTTTTTATTATTATTATTTATTTAAAAATCATGTAATTCAATGGTTCCGTTTACCCTGCTGTTCAAAAGGTTTTTTAACATTTGAAAAAGTCTCTTATGCTCACCAAGGCTGCATTTATTTGATCAGTAATACTGTGAAATATTATTAGAATTTAAATATTACTTTTCTATTTGAATATATTTTAAAAAGTAATTTTTTTCCTGTTGTGGTGAAACTGAACTTTCAGCAACACCGTTACTTCAGTCTTTAGCCACACATGATCGTTAAGAAATCATTCTAATATTCTGATGTGGTGCTTAAGAAACATTTTTTATATTATCAATGTTCAAAGCAAATGCGCTGCTTACTATTATTGTGGAAACCGTGATAGTGTTTTTTTCCCTAGGAATCTTTGATGAATAGAACGTTAAAGAAATAAGCATTTATTTCTTGAGACAGTGATTCATGCTTTTGTGTCCTCTAGGCTTGATTACTGCAACTCATTGTACCTGGGTGTTGTATATTATTATTTTTTTTATTTAAGAAAATATGTAGTTGTTTAATTGTATACACTTAATAGGTTACTCCTAACTTTAAACATACCCGTTGGTAACTCTCTTAAAATATATAAACTAATTTATTTCAGTATATTCTATATATATATGCACCACAGCGCAGCACTTCACATGAACATGCTGAACATGTTTTCTGCCCGAGTCCTGTCGGATTGCATCGGCTGTGGGGATGAAGACCACAATTCCCATGATTCCACACTCAGTCACTGCGTCATCAAACTACGCCTTTGCCTCTTTGTTTATTTTGAATATAAGCCCTCCAGCGGCGAAAAATACATATTGTGCCTTTAAGGCCCTCAGTTAGGTTGATGCTGACCATGCCAAGGTCCCGTTTGTTAAAAGTTAAAAGGTGATTTTTCAGTGGCTGCACCATGCCTATGCAACAAAACCGCCTATTTTTGGTTTTCTTGTTAGTCTTATTATGTGTTGTTTTATTTTGCTAGTATTTATGTACAGCACTTTGGTCAGCTTTGGCTGTTTTTAAATGTGCTTTAGAAATAAATGTGCTGTGCCTGGCCTTGCATTGCCTTGTTTTAAATAGAAATCTTATGTAACATTTTAAATGTCTTTACTGTCACTTTTGATCAGGTTAATGTGTCCTTGCTTAATAATATGTACAATATGTATAATATGTACATCAGTTTATATTTACTGAAACCCTATAGAGAAAAAATATTATTACATTGTCCTCATTTGTAAGTCGCTTTGGATAAAAACGTCTGCTAAATGACTAAATGTAAATGTAAACGTATTAATTACTTAAAAAAATAATTTTTTAAACAGTAGTGTAGGCCTATGTAAGAATGCATTAATGAATGATTAACACAGAAATCTCTCCTCACGTTTCATGAATAAGGCCCCTTGTTCTCTAAACCAGTGTTTCCCAACCGGGGTGCTGCGGCACTGGGGTGCCGTGTAAAAAATCCTTTTTTAATATTTTTAAATTGCTAAAATGTTCAAAAAAGCATCTATTATTTAACATCCATTTCTGATGTCGCCAATAATTAGAGATGCACTGAAATTTCGGCTGCCAAAAATGAGTTCACCACTCAGGTTTCACTTTCACGTGGTGTGACGCTCTGCGTATTATCCCGCTCTATGCGTGTGCGCTCCGCTCAATCGCTCCACTCGTATACCGTTCATGCTCATCGGAACAGCAAAGTCCACTCAAAAATTGAGCCGACAGGAAACATCGATGTAGTACAGTATTGTTTCTGTCTGCAATAGCCCTACTGTGTTGTAACATGGTGTGGTATATGGGCAACTCTGGTAAC